GTCTGCAGGACTTTTGGTACTGAAAATGGGCCATGGCGGTCTACGTTTTGGAATAGTCCCGCATAACGGTACCTCCCGATATTTGGTATTTTGATGATTTTAGCGACAATATTCATCAGAATTCTTTCAAATTTGGTATTTGATGTTCGTAATGGGTGCTATAGCCTATGACAGGAGATTGTCTTTGCAGGTCCCGGTACCTCCCGATATTCGGTATTTCGATGATTTTAGCGACATTATTCACCGGATTTGTTTCGAATTTGGTATTTGAAGTTCGTAATGGATACTTCAGCCTAAGACAGAAAATTGTCTGTCCAGGTCCACGTCTTCGTAAAGTCCTCGCATAACGGTACATCCCGTTATTCGGTATTTTTATGATTTTAGCTACATTATTCACGGATTTTTTCTATTGTAATGGCTTATGACAAAAGTTACCTATGCAGGTCCATGTCGTCGTATTGACCATAATAGAACGGCCACTTTTGGTATTTCTAAGAGTTTAACATAATTTTTAACGGATTTTATTGTTTTTGAGAATTGCCAAATTCGTTCCAAATGGTGGAGGGTATTCAAAGTTCGGCCCGGTCGAACTTACATTTTTTTTCAGCATTTGATGAAGTCGAAAACTTTGGTCTACTATATTTTTTACCTCGCGCACATTTCTTCATTTTTCAAAAATGTTTAAATTTCCCATTTAATGATAAATGAAGTAGTCGATATTACCCAAATCTGTGCACATTTTTTTATCGGACATAGGTCAGATACAAAATGGACAACATTGGCCAACTCCTTTGGAACCTGTCCAATAAAGGGTCAAGAGTTTGGATGATTATAACTCAAGTCAAAATATATTTAAATAACCGAACTCTAGTTGAGGCTATACATCATTCGGCAAAACCGACATATTCTTTTTAACTTATTGCAAAATGAATGATCTAGGGGTAATTATAAAAAATAACAGTATTCTAAAAGTATATCAATAATTTACAATACTCAGTTGGTTCTCCAAAATATTTAAAAAAATAACCTCTACAAATTGTTCTTAAAAAGATTCAAATATTCAATTTTCTGACTACCCTGGAAAAATATATTTAAATAGGTTGTACAGAGAGCACTCCCCTCTGCTAAAGAAATATAACCTAAAACTTACGAGAACAGCTAATAAATCTGAGCTGTTACCAGCCTAACATTTTTAACTAAAAAGAACCATAAAATCAATAATAAAAACAATAAATTTCTTTCTTTATTTCATTATTTAATAAAACACCGAAAACCAATAACTTCCGTTGCAGTCCATTTGCTAAGCCTGTTTTGAAAAACCGAAAACATTGATTTCCCCAATAATACCCCCCACTCTTCCACACAAGATTATCCAAACCGAACATGGTGTCTGGTATCATAAAAATGCCAAAATCATATTAAAATGAAGTACCTTTCGATATTCTTTCCCAAACCAAAAAAATAATAATTTAAAATTTATTTTTAGTGCCAAATCCCACCACAATATTAGAACGGCCATAAACAAGACTTTTTTATGGGGTAACTCAACATTTTGTGTGGTTTCGGTTTTTGGGGGTTTCCCTTTCGCAGTTCAAACATGAAATCATTTATTAAATACTTTAGCGGATTTTTAATGCGCTGCATAAAAGCATTCCCGTTCAATTATCATAAAATGAACTCGAAACAATGTCTTGTCGAAACATTAACATTTATGAGTCCCCAGCAGTCGGTTGAGTCGTTAATCATTTAGATTTGGTCATAAACTATGTCGGTGGGTGAGAGAGAGGGTGGGTAGGTGAGTGAGTGTGTGAGTGAGTGGGGACTGTTGTCTCAGCATTCAAACTGTTGATGCAATGTCTTTCGGTTTTATGTCAAATAAACTGGATTTTATGTTTGGGGGAGATTAACCAGTAGAGCGTATGATGAATATTAATTGTTGAATAACGAGATAAACAATACGCCCCTGTGGGCACAGATATTCTTACCTTGAGCGAGTGACTTGTATTGGAGATGATTTATGTTAGAGAGTTGCTGTAAGAATCACCGACGAATCGGTGTCATGCTTAAGTCGCCCATACGCTCTTTTTGATTTTTTGGGATATACAGGATAAGATAAAAACAAGCAACAAAACTGTTAGTTCGGGCCGAACTTTGAATACCCTCCACCATTTGGAACGAATTTGGCAATTCTCAAAAACAAAAAAAATCCGTTAAAAATTCTGTTAAATTCTTAAAAATACCGAATGTAGCTGTTATATTAGGGTCTGTACGACGAAATGGACCTGCATAGGTAATATTTGTCATAAGCCATTACAATATTCAAATGCAAATCTTAAAAAAAATCGGTAACAATGTATTTAGCTAAAATCATCAAAATACCGAATATCGGGAGGTGCCGTTATATGGGGGCTATATGAAAACGTGGACCGGCACAGACAATTTTCTGTCATAGGCTGTAGCATCCATTTCGAACTTCAAATACCAAATTTGAAAGAATTCCGGTGAATAATGTCGCTAAAATCAACAAAGTACCGAATATCGGGATCTTCCGTTATATGGTGGCTATACCAAAATGTGAACCTACATAGCCCATTTTCAATACCAAAAGTCCTGCAGACATAACATACATTTGAGTAAAATTTTATCAATCTACTTCAATTCGTTCGTAAGCTAGAGTGATTTCCACAGACGGATAGACGGACAAACGGACAGACATCGCTAAATCGACAAAGAATTTTATTCTGATCAATTTTATTCTGAATGAAAGCAAAACATGTCGGAAATAGCATCAAATTTTAGAATAAGTTTAGATTTGTTCGAGTTGGCCACCTTTGGCACGAATTATGGCCTTCAAACGGCCAATGAAACCGTCACACGCTGCCGGAATGTTGCTCTTCAGTATTTTGGTCCATTCCCGGCGAATCGCTTGCTTGAGATGATCGACACTTTGGTATTTTTAGTGCCAACCTTGCTTTCCAAAATACACAAGACACAATAGTCCAACGGATGGGTATCTGGAGATTTTGGTGGTCATTTTGTGCTGGAAATGAAGCCAGATACCTCATTTTGTAAGCAATTATGGGTGGCGCATTCTGAGTTTGATGGTGCTGGGTCCTGTTGGAATGTCCAAGGTCTGCGGCCAAAATGTTTGCGTGCCCAATGCTTTAATACACCCTCCAGAATATTTTCTCGATAATATTCGGCATTTATTCTGATGCCACGGTCAAATTATAAGAGCGGAGAGCGACCATCGGCTGTTATGGCGGCCCACACCATCACCATGGCCGGCTTGAGGCTTGAGTTCTGGTGGACAACAGAAGATGCACATTTTCAGCTGACCTCTTTGGCAAGTAAACACGATCCTTTTGTTTCTTTACAAACTGCTGGGCAACGAATGTTTTCTCATCGGAGAAAACCAAATTCGGCAGTTCACCACTTTCGGCCAAGCGAAGCAACTTTTTAGCTCTTTTGAGTCTATTTTCTTTGTGTTGCGGTGTAAGTTCTTGCACTTTTTGGAATTTCAATGGCTTTACCCCGAGCTCATTATTCAATATTTGCCGAATGAAATATTCAGCTCACTAGCCATTTTTCGGCTACTTCGACGTGGGTTTCGATCAAGTAGCTTCTTTACTTTTCGAACCATTTCTGCAGATGTTGCTGTTTTCTTCTGTCCACTCTCTTGACGTGGGGCTACGCTACCAGTATCACGGTAACGAGCGATAGTACGAAACACAAAAGATTTATTCACATTTAAAGGCTGGAGTGCTCTAACGATCGCCACTTGTGGTTTTCCAGCCAAATATAAAGAAATCACATTATCACGCTTGAATTCCATCACGAATATCTTTTTTCTGAAAAATTCTCACCAAAATGCTTTTGTACGCTTGTAAACAATATAAAGAGCTGTTGCTGGAACAATTTTAACAGCTGTCGGAAGAGTAGCTTAGAAATGACAGCAGTCTGAGGTTGGTTGCAGTTTTTTTCATCTCTCCCTGTTTACTTATCTTGAGTGAGTGATTCGTATTGGAGATGATTTGTGGTAGAGATTTGCTGTAAGAATCTCCGCCCTTTTTGATTTTTTTAAGACATATGTTATTCTTTCCGTATCTCTGTCATAAAATTTCTAATTTTGAAGGGTTAATTTCTGAATATTTTGAACATTTTCTCGTCTTAAAAGATCTCCTCCCCTTGTATTTAGCTTCAAGAAGGAGTATATCGGTCCAATGTTTCCAGTGGTTGTTTGAAATTAATTTTCCTTCAAACAAATAAAGCATTTCGCTCATTCTTATTATGCATACGCCCACAAAACCGACTTGCAAGTAATTGTATAAATTATTCGAAATTATCCCTTAACCTTGTTTCCCAGTAAATACTTTGCAATTAAATAAAATTAGATATTTTTGTTCTTCACCGCCTACTTGCAGTAAACCCCTTTCCAGTGCACACTCTGTATAACAATTTTAATTTATGTCCTATTTTTACTTAGCCACAGTGCCAGCGTTATTGTTTGCCAAAATAGAAATTGCACAGTCATTGAGATAATGTCCTGTTTTGTCAGAAAAATGGAAACGACCAAGCGACAAAAAGCAGGCTACTGTTTTTCTAACACAATGACAATTATTTTCCAATGCCATGTGACGATAGCGTACTTCCAAGTGGTAGGAATTTAGAAATGATTCTTTTATATAAATTGTAGACCGCATTTGTGGTCGCAAAACCGCCTCAAATGCCCAAAAAAATAATAATAAAAGGTCATTGGTGTGTGACAGCAAAATAATATCTGGACGTGCTCCAATCATGGCCAGAAAGAGGACATTATGTTTAAAACTATTCAAAGTGAGAGCCCCAAGACCATAAAATTCACACACACACACAACTAAAACGTTAAGGTTTTGAAAAATTAAAAAAATAAGTATTTTAACAATTTGGAATATTCTATATGACATAATCTTTGACAACATTTTTAATTCAAATGTTTTTTATTTATTTTCTCCCTACAGCGCAGCGAAAATCCAATGCATTTCTCGATGTACCCACCATGAACATGCATCATCTGAGAGTTTCCGATGATGAGGATCTGGATAGATTACGGACGTTTAGCGCTTCAAAAGGAGGTAAGATATAAATAACACAAAAATAGTTAAAAAAAAGTGGTCGAAAAGAATATTTTCTATTATAGAAATTATCGATAAAAAGATTTTCTAAAGAAAATATTGCCGACAACAAAAATTCCTATAAATTTTCGTGTCATATCGCTAACACGATTTTCTATAAAAATTATTATCGATAACAAGATATCTAACTAAATATACTATATATAGCAAGACTTTCTATACAAAAAATATTGTCGACAACAAGATTTTCGATAGAAAATATCATCGATTTCCTATAGACCGTATCAGCTAGATTTTCTATAAAAAAATTAGACGAGAACCAAATTTCTATAGAAAATATTACCGATAACAAGATTTTCTATAGAAAATATTACCGATAACAAGATTTTCTATAGAAAATGTTACCGATAACAAGATTTTCTATAGAAAATTTTACAGATAACAAGATTTTCTATAGAAAATTTTACCGAAAACAAGATTTTCTATAGAAAATGTTACAGAAAACAAGATTTTCTATAGAAAGCGTTACCGAAAACAAGATTTTCTATAGAAAATGTTAACGATAACAGATTTTCAATAGAAAACGTTACCGATAACAAGATTTTCTATAGAAAATGTTACCGATAACAAGATTTTCTATAGAAAATGTTACCGATAACAAGATTTTCTATAGAAAATGTTACCGATAACAAGATTCTCTATAGAAAATATTGTCGATAACAAGATTCTCTATAGAAAATATTGTCGATAACAAGATTTTCTATAGAAAATATTGTCGATAACAAGATTTTCTATAGAAAATATTGTCGATAACAAGATTTTCTATAGAAAATATTGTCGATAACAAGATTTTCTATAGAAAATATTGTCGATAACAAGATTTTCTATAGAAAATATTGTCGATAACAAGATTTTCTATAGAAAATATTGTCGATAACAAGATTTTCTATAGAAAATATTGTCGATAACAAGATTTTCTATAGAAAATATTGTCGATAGCAAGATTTTCTATAGAAAATATTGTCGATAACAAGATTTTCTATAGAAAATATTGTCGATAACAAGATTTTCTATAGAAAATATTGTCGATAACAAGATTTTCTATAAAAAAATATTGTCAATATCAGGATTTTCTATAGAAAATATTGTCGATAACAAGATTTTCTATAGAAAATATTGTCGATAACAAGATTTTCTATAAAAAAATATTGTCAATATCAGGATTTTCTATAGAAAATATTGTCGATAACAAGATTTTCTATAGAAAATATTGTCGATAACAAGATTTTCTATAAAAAAATATTGTCGATAACAAGATTTTCTATAAAAAAATATTGTCAATATCAGGATTTTCTATAGAAAATATTGTCGATAACAAGATTTTCTATAGAAAATATTGTCGATAACAAGATTTTCTATAGAAAATATTGTCGATAACAAGATTTTCTATAGAAAATATTGTCGATAACAAGATTTTCTATAGAAAATATTGTCGATAACAAGATTTTCTATAGAAAATATTGTCGATAACAAGATTTTCTATAAAAAAATATTGTCAATAACAGTATTGTTTATAGAAAATATTGTCAATAACAGTATTGTTTATAGAAAATATTACCGATAACAGGAATTTGTATAGAAAATTTTTTTATTGTCGATAACAGGATTTTTTCTAGAAAATATTGTCTATAACAGGATTTTTCCTAGAAAATATTGTCGATAACAGGATTTTTCCAAGAAAATATTGTAGATAACATGACTTTTTTTATTTTCTATAGAAAATATAGTCGATAACAAGATTTTCTATAGAAAATATTGTCGATAACAAGATTTTCTATAGAAAATATTGTCGATAACAAGATTTTCTATAGAAAATATTGTCGGTAAAAGGATTGTCTATAACAGGATTTTTTCTAGAAAATATTTTCGATAACAAAATTTTCTATAGAAAATATTTAGTAGATAGATTTTCGATAAAAATATTGTCGATAGCAATAATTTCTATATAGGAAATATTGTCGATCACCATAATATATAACAATATATATATGTTATATAATATATAACAAATATTATCGATAACAAGATTTTCAATAAAAAATATCGAAAACAAGGTTTTGGATAGAAAATATTATTGATAACAAGATTCTCTATTGAAAATATTGGCGATAACAGGATTTTCAATTGAAAACATTGTCGAACAAGATTTTCTATTGAAAATATATCGAAAACAACGATTTTGGAATTTTTATTCAAAACTGTACATAAAAACCCGTGTTGCTTGTATATACTCAAAGTTTTGCTTTTTTAATATTAAATATTCACCGGTGTTCGCTGATACAATCCGATTACCAATTGTTTTTGCTGGTTTTCCGAAATTTGTTTTGGGTTTTTATGAACATGTTGAAATGTACATGTTTCTCACAAATTGAAATTTTGTTATTTAACTCAAAGATTGGCAAAATATAATCGTAAACTCATGTGGGAAAATCCGAAAATTAATCAATTCCATTAGAAATAAAAAATAAAGAAAATTACGTTTCAAGAGTGTTGAGGATTCAGCAGAGGTTTTTTTGGTGGTGTTCAATTAATCACTGACGCCGTTGTCTAATATAAACAAGCAAAGCGTTTGTATATAAATTCTTGCAAAATAAAATCAACAAATGCGAAATTGCAGATTTAGCCATTCGGAAAGTCAAATAAAGAAGTATTTTTATTGGCAAAAATTAAATTGGCAAAGCCTTTTTGCCAAACGGAAAACAAATGTTGAAATGCAACACCCGTATTTCGGCAAGGGGCATAGATGAACATGTTTCTTATTTCGATTTTGTATATATCAAACATTTGGTAGAAATGTTCATGGTTTCAATATCTGTAGAAAATTTTGTATGTTCCAATATTTTTTTTAATGAAAATCGTGTTAATACAAAAACTTTGTGAAGATAATAATTCCGATAACAAGATTTTTCATAGAAATTATTATTGATAACAAGGGTTTCTCAGGAAAATATTACAGAAAGAAAATAAAATAAAATAAAATTTTCACTAAGATTATATGGCGATAACAAGATTTTCTATATTGAACATGTTTAATAAATATTAATCTGGTATTATATTAAAGAGCTATTACATAAATTAGACATTATGTCAGCATTTTTTTTTTTTTTTTGTCAACAAATTTGCCCTACATTGCCATGGCAATTTGTTGTCCAAAATCAACATTTTCTTGTTCCATTTTCCAGCATTATCAAATCTTAGCTAGCATATCTATAAAAAACAACATTAAGTAACTTGCCCTCTCGTCCCAGAAAAATTTATTTATAGAAAAAAATGCAAATATTTATTTTGAATAAGCCCTTAAGACAACCAACGCCTCCCCCAACATTGCCCGCACTCCGTGCCTTTAAATCTCTGACTTCTTGAAACAGAAGAGAGAGACAATCAACGACACATGATTGATTGTAAATTATTGCTACAAGTTCGCATGTAAATAACTTAATATGATTGAGTGAGCGACCGAGCGAGTGAATGAATGAATATCCCTCGTCATGAGCATGTAATCCCCGGAAAATAATGGAAAGCTTTGCATGCGACATGAAGGCAAATCGGAAGAAAACCAAATCTTCAAATCCACCCAAGGGTTTCAAATTATGAATGGAAACAGAAATGTAGGCTAAGAACGATAAATGAAATATGTTTTATACTCTGAAATGATTGTGACAGATTTGTGGCATGAAGTCAAACGATATGAGAAAAAAGGGCATTGCAGGCAAAAACTTTGATACGTGGTCCAAGCCAAACATGTCACACGTGGCACAAGGCGGAATGAAATTTAAATTATGTATCACAAATACTCTATTTTCAATGAAAATCAAGTTACCGACATTATCTTAATTTTTTTTTTAAATAAATATTAAGTTTTCGTTAATATTTTCCATAAAACAAAATCTTGTTATCGATGCCATTTTTATGAACAAAACCTTCGTATCGATAATATTTACTATAGAAACTCATGTGTTAAAATAATTTGCTAAAGAAATTATTGTTATCGACAATATTTTCTACATAGAAATTATTGTTATTGACAATATTTTCTATAAAAATTATTGTTATCAACAAAAATTGTTATTGTTATCGACAATATTTTCTAAAGAACTTATTGTTACCTACAATATTTTGTAAAGAATTTATTGTTATCGACAATACTGTCTATTGACAATATTTTCTATATAGAAATTATTGTTATCGACAATATTTTCTATATAGAAATTATTGTTATCGACAATATATATAGAAATTATTGTTATCGACAATATTTTCTAAAGAAATTAATGTTATCGGCAATATCTTCTAAAGAAATTATTGTTATCGACAATATGTTCTATATAGAAATTATTGTTATCGACAATATGTTCCATATAGAAATTATTGTTATCGACAATAATTTCTAAAGAAATTAATGTTATCGACAATATCTTCTAACGAAACTATTGTTATTGACAATATTTTCTAAAGAAATTATTATTATCGACAATGTTTTCTATATAGAAATTATTGTTTCGACAATATTTTCTATATAGAAATTATTGTCATCGACAATATTTTCTATATAGAAATTATTGTTATCGACAATATTTTCTATATAGAAATTATTGTTATCGACAATATATATAGAAATTATTGTTATCGACAATATTTTGTTATCGACAATATTTTCTATCGAAATTATTATTATGGACTACAGTAATTTTTGTATCAACAATATTTTTTATAGAAAATCCTGCTACCAACAATATTTTTTGTAAAAAATATTGTTATCGACAATATTTTCTATAGAAAATCCTGTTATCGACAATATTTTCTATAGAAAATCCTGTTATCGACAATATTTTCTATAGAAAATCCTGTTATCGACAATATTTTCTATAGAAAATCCTGTTATCGAAAATATTTTCTATAGAAAATCCTGTTATAGACAATTTTGCAACAACAATATTTTT